GCGCCACTTTGTCCACCACAAATCCCACTTGACCAGACCCCGATTCGAATCCGTGCCGCCGAGGTGGAAAGCCAGCGACTAACCGCTTGGGCTATGGCGCGGCCACAGTCCATATCTTACTATGTGTCTAAGATTCATTTTAATATTATCCACCTACCTATGTCTTGGTCTTCCTATTGGTGTCATTCTTCTGGATTTTCCCGCAACATTCTGTATGTATTCTTCTTCTCCCCATGCGTGCTACATGCCCTATCTAACTCATCCCCTTGACTTGATCGTTCTAATTATACTTGGCGAAGAGTATAAGATATTAAGCTCCTATTATGTAGTTTTCTCCAACCTCCTGTCACTACTGTCTAGACTAGCTTTTATAAAATTTAATTTCATGGATGTTTTGAAGTACAATTGAAGAGAACTTTTCCCGCGTATTTTCCAATTCGTTGACCGATCTCACAATTCGATACCATGCAACGTGAGTTACTGACAGTATTGTCAAATGAAGTGTAAATAGGTAAATAGTTTGGAACTTGATCAAGTCAAAATTCGGTTTTGATTCTTCACTGAAACTCTATAGTTCCCGAAGTCTATAGCTCTGTCTCTTATACCTACCTACCTTCCTACCTAACTACCAATCGGCTCTACAGCCCTGGGTGAGGCCTGGCCTCCTCTACAACCAGTCTCCACAACCAGTGCGTGCTGCCATAGGAATGAACCAACGCATGATGCCCCGAGGCTGGTTGTTAGGTTTCTGAACAAAATTCTTTCTACAGAATGAGGTTGTTAGTCTCATGCCCAATCCCAAACCTGGAGGACCAGGGTATCCCTCTTAGTCTGGACTCTACCCTTTGAACTTTCCGGCATAGGTGACTCTACCGGTAGTTAAACTACCGCCAGCATAGGATAGCTCTCCAGGTTACAGAGTCACGCAAGTCCCACCACCACGACAAGGCGGAAACACCTTTGGGGGCTCTGTCTCTTACATATTGTCATTCAACATTAATTGCTACCTTCTTGTTAACGTCATATCAGCTAAATATATGGACGGGAGCCGACCAGTCATCCATTTTGGGATCTTTCTTTTAATTGATGACCTACGGTTGCGGATCTCTAATCTCGATAAAGTAAAATGTTTAATTTCAGACATAATGAATCTATTACAGATATCTGCACTTGAGAATCAAGTTTGTTACTCTTTAATTCTAAGAATTATTTTTATTTTTTATCGCAGTGTTGCGTAATCCTATGACACAAGTTATGCAGTCTTGAAGCATAATAAAACTTCTTATATTAAAATGCCGTTTATAATTTGAAATTACTCTTAATTATGTATTGGGACTCTCATAATTAATCCATTGGGAAGTCGGTGTATACTCGGCATAGCGACTGACTACGGGCTAGCCGACCAAGGGGTCAGAGTTCGAGTCCCGGTAGGGTCAAGAATTTTCTCTTTTCCACGTCGTCCAGACCGGCTCTGAGGCTCACCTAACCTCATATCCAATGGCTACCAGGGGCTTTTTCCCCGGGGTTAAAACCTCTGGGGAGTGAAGAAAATCACTCACTTCCAACTAGTGCCGAGGTCAAGAAATATAGATCTATACATCACTTCCCCATACGCCTTCACGGTGTAGTGCTTACTTATTTAAGCACAGGGACAACTTAATCTTACCATCATCAATCCAATAATTATATAACAGCTAATGCTTTATAAATAGATAAAAAGTAACAAGTTCTTGCATCCTTGACATTGTATTACATTCCAGAACGTATAATTTAACCTAAAAGTAAGTCACAACACAATGGTCGTTAGTGGCTGACAGCTAAATTACTGATGGTCCTCGCCAGCACATTGATTCTTGGTACCCTGTTGTCTGACGGTTCTGGGAGCCTTCAGACTCTGGCTAGGTCGTCGATGGGTTATCGTGCACTCTTATCTCACGGTTATGTGAGACTTATGACTGACAGATGTACGTTTAGCTTCACTCTGACCTTCGGATTTTCTTTCTTCTCATCGGAAGATACTAAGAAGCAGCATCCTGTAAAGCTGAATTAGCAGCTGCCCTTCATACGTACTTCCATTAGTTCGGCAAGGGAATAACTAGGAAATACCAAGGAGCACATTCCCTCTCCCGAGACGCTAATAATCTCTGATCTACTCAAAAACGTGACCCTCATTTTAAGAAACAGGAAGGTTCATTGCCGTGTTCACAAAAGCCTGCCAATGACCTTTACTCTGATCCAGACTAATTCACTCCACGATCTCACATCTCATGACCTTAAGATCTTGTCATCTACATGTAGATTTCATTATAAAAGCGAACCAGAGCAAAGGTATCAGTAATAAAAGACAAAGATGTCCCTGTGCTTAATTAATTAAGCAATTAAGCACTAAGCCCTGAATACATACGTGGGAGTTGAGGTATAACTAACAACATTCTTGACCTCGGCACTAGATGGAGGGGAGTGGTCAGCTCAAAGCCAGGTCAGATAGCAGTAATAGTAGTAAAACAGGAGAGGTGACCCAATGGGAATTGGCATGTACGTATACATTGAAGCAATTCTCTGTCCTTTACTAAAATCGTAGAATATTACTATGTTCATTAGATCTCGCAAGTGGAACATATCTTGAGCCAGGTAAATCCAGTCCATAACCTAATGTGCTATTTCTTTAGGATATATTTTAATATTGTTTTCCCATCTCCGATCTAGAAAACCGAGATTAACGGCCGTGGGGATCCATCGCGCTGACCTCGCGACATCCTCTATCCGCAAAAGTTGGTACTAACTTCGCTGACAAGCGGCGGTCGCTCTGTCGGTATAGTTCGCTTGAGGACAACAGGCCACGGAGTTTGTTTTGTTTTTCCAATATACGTCTAAGTCTGCCAAATTATCTCTTCCTTCCAGATTATCTGGCAGAATTTTTGTATACTTCTTTTCATAAGTGATGCATGCCCTTCTTGTCTTATTTTAATTAAATAATTTTAGTAATATGAAGCTTGTCATGTTACATAATGTTAGGACAGTGTTATTAAATTCGCAAGACCAGTAAGGTATTCAGAATCGAATTTTGAGAATACTTATACTCAGTTTGATTGTATTCAAGGTCGGTCTGAGACAATACCAAATAATCCACACTAATTGTAGTAACTGCATGGTAATTCTGTATACCCTGTTAGCTTCCGGTAATACTGCATGTTGCACCCAGTGTCATTCTGTTTTCAGAATGAACAGAAAACCATTTATTAAACATAATGTTCGCCAGCCTCCTGTCGCTGACGCAGCTTCAGGCTCAAATACCCTGTCTTACAGATATATAAATGTTTATTACCTATAAAACACCTGTCAACAAGTGTTCCTTATTCATATATAGCATACGAGTAGTAATCCCCAGCATAATTTAATAAAATATTTGTAACATATCAGGACACCTGAAGATGGCCGTTTTGGGCCGAAACATTAGTGTCAAAGTGCATAATGTTAAATTAAAATTAAAATTAAGTAGTGAATGGAAGAGTGTTGCAATATGACGGACGATAAGTAATGGACGTTAAGTTGAGCGGTTGCAACGGGATGCTGAGATACAGAACCCCAATGATAAAAATTACGTGTAAGCAAAAGGTAAAAGGTAAAGCTGCCCCTGTACTTAACTAATTAAGCACTACTCCATGAAGACGTATAGGGGAGTGGATATATAGATCCACATTTTTTCACCTCGGCGGTAGTTGGAGGTGAAGGGGGGTCAGCTTCACGCTCCGATCGCTTTACCCCTCATGTAAAGAGCCCCCGGTATCCCCTGTACTTAACTAATTAAGCACTACTCCATGAAGACGTATAGGGGAGTGGATGTATAGATCCACATTTTTTCACCTCGGCGCTAGTTGGAGGTGCACGGTCAGCTTCACACCCCGGCCGTTTAACCCCCGAGGAAAGAGCCCCTGGTACCCATTCTATAGGAGGTTGGATAGACCCCAGAGCCGGTCCGGACAATTGAAGAAGTGAAAATTCCCAACGGGACTCGAACTCCGACCCCTCGGTCGTCCAGCCCATAGCCAGTCGCTATAGAGACTACGCTATCCTGGTTCCTCGTATGGGAGAGTGGATGTATAAATCCACGTTTTCTTGACCTCGGCGCTAGTTGGAGGTGAAGGGGGGTCAGCTTCACGCTCCGGTCGCTTTACCCCTCATGGAGAGAGCCCCCGGTATCCACCCAGCCTCGGGTGAGCCCCAGAGCCGGTCTGGACGACGTGGAGAAGAGAAAATTCTTAACCGGGACTCGAACTGAGAACCATCGGTCGTCCAGCCCGTAGCCAGTCACTATACCGACTGCGCTATCCCAGAATTGCGTGCATGCGCATTAGTAAATTGGTATGTGAAGTATCGGGTAATAACAAAAGATGAGGTTGTCCTTGTGCTTAATTAAGCACCACGCTATGAAGACGTATGGAGGAGTGCAAGAATAGCTCCAGCATTCTTGAACTTGGCATTAGATTGAGGTTAGTGGTCGGCTTCACGGCCCGGCCGCTTTACCTCCGGGGAAACAATCCTCTGCACTCAGTTGTATGAGTTTGTGGGCTCCAGAGTCGATCTGTACGCTGTGGTAATAAGAATTTCTTGCCCTTGCCGGAATCGAACCTTGGCCGTCCAGCCCGTAGTCCTTCGCTATACCGACTGAGCTATCTGGAAAAGAGAAGCGTCTGAATGCTTTGTGCATACAATAAATATTTCAGTGTGTATGAAAGTAGAAAAGTACCCTTCTTAAGGATCTCTGTCAATTCTGATATATTGAAATAACTTACTTTAACATTGATGTTAATTCCTTTCTTGGGTTGTTACACCGTGCTTATGTGGGCGCTGTTACTGGCGTTTCGGAGATACGTACTGCCTCCATTTTCAGGGCCGAAGTATGTAAATTGGGTTAGTACCTCGGAAACGTCGTCAACATCACCCACATCCCCACATCCGTTAAAAGCTAAAATAAGTATTTGGTGTCATCTTGTTTTCAGGGACTATGATACCGAAATCGGGCGGTGATTACGCGTACATTAACGAGGCGTTCGGACCGCTGCCAGCCTTCTTGTATCTTTGGGTGGCGCTGTTGGTTCTTGTTCCCACGGGCAACGCCATTACTGCCCTTACGTTCGCCCAGTACATTCTGCAGCCCGCATGGCCCACGTGCGAGCCTCCCTATGAAGCTGTACGCCTTCTGGCAGCCGTCATCATCTGTAAGTACCATTGCACGTTTGTTTGTACACTGTTTAATGACGCTGTATCATGAGAGAGACAGCCATGTCATAGCTAAGACGGTTAGTCACCGATTTCCCACTGTGTCGGCCTGGATTCGTTCCCAGGTGGAATTTGTGGTAGACGAAGTGGCATTGGGGTAGGTTTTCTCCAAGTACTTCTGTTTCCCCTACCAATTATCATTCCACCAAATACTCCATACCCATCTATCATCCAGGGCTGGAACAGTAGGCCAGTTAGTGACTGACGTACCAAGTGGACTCATTCTCACTCCACCCCACAAAATTAGAGAAAGCCAATGGGAGGAAAGAGAGATGCATACACAGTATTCCCAAGAGAATCTGAGGGAAAGAGAACCATTTTTAAGGCCTAGGCATTGATGGAAGAATAATATTAAAATAAATCTTAAAAATAGGATTAAAGGGTGTGGACTGGATTCTTTTGAATCAAGCAGGCTTCAGTGCTGGGCTGCTTTGACCACTTCTGTGAATCTTCAGATTCTGTAAAATGTGGGCAATTCTTTGCCTAGCTGCACAACTGTTAGCTTCTCAAGAAAGAGTTAGTATTGAATTCAAACGTTATCTGTTTAAAAATTAATAGAAATTATTCATGGCAAAGGATGTATATTATAACATTTTAAGATAAGTAGGTGACATTAATTCTCCTAGGAGTTCTTGTTGAAAATGTGAAGAAATGTCCAAAGTGATAAAGCTTTAGCCTGATGTCTACATTTCCTGTCATCATTTAGCCCACCAAGAGAGTGTTTGTGTCATAAGACATTGCCATTCTGTATACTTGTATCAACTTGTAATTTTGTCATCATGGTAGCGAGGCGTAAGTGACTCTTATACAGTTGGACAGCTGCTTCAAGGTTAAATAAGTCATTGTGTATTTTATGTGCTTATTAACTTAAATGGTATTCTTACTTGTCAGTACTAGTGAATGGAGGACTTTCTTGGCTGCCTGTTGCTATAATCCTTCAGAGTTTGATTTTAAAAGAGAAATATGGTTAAATGTAGCATTAAAGAAGGCGCATTTAGTCTGTGCATTACATCTGTAAGCTGTGTAGGTATATATAATGTGTTATAAATCAAGCAGATACATACTGGGTGGCTGAGTGGTAGCAGAATGTTGGACAATGCTTTAGATGAAGCAAACTTAATAAGTACTGTTATTATGTTGATAATTTTCTTCCAATCTCATTCAGTTTATCCTGATCCAGAACACATGACATATCTTATGGATCTCTGTAACTTTTATTCAAGAATGTTCTCTCTCTCTTATAGACTGATATTCAGGGCTGGAAATGAGGATGGACATGAGTAGAAGCTGTCTGCTTGGTTCCAGAACACTTCTTTTTCTGGAAGCTATTTTTAGTGCTTTAAATTCATCATAACTATTGCTCTTAGCAACATAACATGTAGGAACATATTCTCAAGCCTACATTATAATAATTTCCTTTTAATATATGTTGGTCATTCATTCAGACTTTTCTAGTTATCTTGAGCATCTAACTCGCTTTATTCTGGAAGGGCTACCTAATTCTGAGAAGCAATTTACACCCCCATCTATGTCATTAAAAGATATCTGTCAGAGGATTAAAGAAGGTGAATGTAAAAATTTACTTATGTGCTTAAGAAAAACATTCAACAAATTAAGTTAAATTGAATAGCCCCTTCATAAATGCTTCTTTTTATATTTTTGATCAATTAAAGTTTGAATCTGCATTGAACAAAAGAAGAGCAGAAATGCTGGCCTTACTACGTGGCCCAGAAATGTGTAGTATATTGAGGACAAATTAAAGCACAATGGAATTAGCAGAAATTAAATTCTTTGGCTAGTGAATGGATACACAACACAGGTTGAAAACCAAAGCAAGAAACCAGAATTGCAGATAAACTCAGTTCATGATAAAACAAATACCTACCTACAAACAGAACTGGATACAACATTTAAATATAATGGAAATGGACAAAGGGGATTACCAAAGCAGGTAATAAATTGCAGACCAGGAGGAGGAAGAGATATTGACAGATCAAGGCAAAGATTGAAATACGAGTAATGTTTAGAACAGGTTGAAAGACCTAATCCATGGGCATAGATGATAATAATGATGATGATTATGATTGTATGGTGGTGTTGAGGATTAAAATGTGAGATCATTTTTCATGTGTCATGACCAGGAGCTGGCCTACACCAACCAGTGCTCTGTAGCCTAGTAGTCCCTAGTAGCTATTATATTCACAGTTGATATTTGAATAGGAAGGTGATGGAGCCGTGATGAGAGTTAAGTTAGCATGACAGGATAATGGGTTTCACTTCCCTCTAGGCAGTGTCAATAATGAGAGTGGTGGGAGGGATTGGTCCAGTGGTGTGGGTTGAAGAGGCTGTGTAGCATAAGTTTCTATTCTCTTATGACGAATGCCCCCTCTTCCAACCTCAACTGTTTTCCTTGAAACTTCTGATAATATTTTACCAAGTAATCATGTAGAGCATAATTTATTTCATTGTTACTGTGAAATTTAATTCTTTTGTGTCAATTTGGAGTATTATGTTGATGTTTTCCCCTATATTTGCAGGTCTGTTAACAGTTATTAACTGTTACAATGTGAAATGGGCAACCCGTGTTCAGGACATATTTACAGGAACCAAGATACTTGCGTTGGTTATTATTGTCATTGCTGGGATGTGGGTCCTAGCTTCTGGAAAAACAGAGAACTTCAAAAACCCAATGAGTAACACCAACCCTGAGCCAGGTTTTATAGCACTGGCTTTCTACTCAGGCCTCTTCTCATATTCTGGTTGGTAGGTATGATTTAAATGTAAAAACAAACTGGAACTATGATTCAGTATTACTCCTAATAAGGCCAAAAAACATTTCAGTTGTTTTTAAAGTGAAATAACATCAGTTTTATATTCTATAGCAGATTGTACTATTTGGGAAGAACCTAACTGTGAAGGGTTAACTGATTCATGATGACAAATGATTGATGATTCATCAGATTAATCCAAATAGTTCCTGACTTTTAGTTCTGATGTCAGATAACACACAAGAATCTTTCATGTCTCACAAATGCACAGCCTTTTAATAACCGAGTTTTAAGTAATCCAAATCCTGTTTTAAACTTTAGAATTGTTGCCATGGGTATCCTTCACTGTGACATCCACAGTCATGTGAATTATATTAAATTCCCCTTGAATCTTATTACTAATTGTGAAAGTAGGATATTTAAGTTAATTACTTCCTATGGCAAAATGTAAAACTTTTGTAGTAGTTTCATTCAGTAATTTTACTCACACCAAACACTGATTTGTAGAGCAATATGAGTTGTCTCCAACACTGTATAAGGGTAGTATTTCAGAGTTATTAAGCTACAGTAGTTCTGATATAATACTAAAATTGTTTGTTATTTTTTAATTAAAAGATGAAAGTTAACCTTTGGCAAAGTTTGTAGAAATTCCAAGACCGCTTTTGCACTTCGTTGGAGATAAAGTTTCTTCTTGTAAGTCATGTCAGGAAGAGTTTAAATTTTCCTATCTCAAAGATAGCGATAATTTCATATTTAAGTGTGTGTACTTTTAAAAAAGTTTTGTAGTAGATTGTAAAGGGTTCTGATGATGATGTATAACACTCAGAATTACTGTTTTTCTTTACTTTGTCCATCCTCCAGTATTCTAGAAACTAGAAAAAAACAATGTTTTAGAAACTGGATCTGTTTCCATCCTCTGGTGAAGGGGGAGGCACCTCCTCTTTTGTGTCCCTTAGAAAGAGCTAACCACAATCACGGGACATTAACTCAGTCATTAATTCAAAGGGTAGCAGTCATCTGAATAAATAGGAAAAGTTTCTGGGCTGTGTGTATATTCCACATGTGAAGGGTGTTTCAGAGAAGTTCAAAGGTATAGGGAATTGATTTAACATAAGGATGATATTCAAAACTAAACACTCTTAGGAGTTCACTCATAAAATCCAGGCCAGAAAGAGATCTGCAATAGATAGCACAGTGGAACTATAGAATTCCATGTGAATGTGGCAAAAGCTACATTGATGAAACAGGCAGACCTATAGCCCTGCGGCTCCATGAACTTAGGCACAATCTCAAAGAGGGTCTTCCAGAAAAATTAAATTAGCCAAACTTGCCTATGAAGAGGGTCATAGGATATGCTGGGATGGAGCTAGGAAATTGAAAGTAACAGCAGGAATAGGAAATACATGGAATTGGCCAACCTGGCATGCTTAACCCATCTGATCAGCCAACCCAGTTTCGACATTCCTCCAATCTGGATCCTCCTATCAGCAGTGAGGTTATCAACTCACAGAGAAGATTTGCATGACATAACACAATTCTTCATGGGTTTTAATAAGGTATTAGTCTTTAGTGTTCAGGTTTTACACCATAGATGCCGCTAGTGGTAGGCATTATATGTTTTCACAGATTCTCCATTTAATTCTATGCATTGGTGTTCATGGACTTACTCTGTTGGCTAGGTTTTAGCATAAATTTCTACTTTCCCTTTTATCCTAGTTCCAAGAATGTGTGTGCGCATTATCATTTTTAGTTGTTTTGTTTTACTTGCAGCGATTGAGCTCTTTTAAAGGGACACAACAGAGCAGGTGTCTCCCCTCACCTGAGGACAGAAACAGATCATTTCAGAAATGTTGTGTTTTCTTGTTTTTAGAATACCAGACGATGGACAGAGTCCATAAACCAAGTAATTCTGAAGTTTTATAACAGCCAGTGTACTTATATTTTGGTTGTACTTATCAAGTTATTTCTTGCCTTGCAGGAACTATTTAAACTTTGTAACAGAGGAGTTAAAGGAACCATATAAGTAAGTTCATAGGGGCAATTACCATTTATTTGTAAGTGATTTCAATTATGAAGAGTGTGTGTGTATGAATATAGGCTGGAATTGAAGCAAAGTATTACTTGCTGACATTCTGACTACCACACAAAATTGCTGGTATATATTATAATTCACAGACATTATTTAAATTTTGTTTTAATCCTTTGGTGTTAGTGGTTAAGTATTACTATTGTAAATGAGCATGATCTATACTGAAACTGAGCAATAATGCTTCTGATTTGTGTCCAGTAGATGTCCAGTTCAAATCTCAGCTAGGACATTGACCATTGTGACTACATTTTATCATGGTTATCCTCAGTTCATCCATGCAGATGATGGAACAGTACCTTAAATTAGGCCCTGGTTGCATCCTACCACATCCTTTTCGATTCATAATTTTTCTATTGTCTACTCATTTGGCATAGTACAGTCTCAATTACTGACAGCATCAGTAGGCAAAGTGCAAAAAATAACAGATCCATCCATAAGGATACCGAAGTATTTTGTTGATATAACAAGATACATCTGTATGGATAATGAAGTAAAGTACATGATCTTGTGAGAAACTGGAACACGAATTTGATCAGTTTTGTTAATGTAACATGGCAAGCAAAATCAGACATTCAGTAGAACAATGATAATGTGTTGTTTTTAATACATGATTGTGCTTGGAAGCTAACAGTGGACATGAGCATTGTGCGAAACCAAAAGCTTTATTCCGTCAATTTTATGCTGCATTCTCAGACTGTAAATGCATGAAGTGAGATCCAGAATATATGTAAAGATGTCTATAACAAATTGAACGTTAATAATGACTTGCATAAACCAGGAACTTTGGTTGAATGTGATGATTTTCCCTCACTGGAAAAGAAATAAGTTGTTAAGTACTGTCACAAATTACATTTGAATTGAACAGATTATTTGTAACAAAAGACGTAAGAAAATACAGTACATGTCTTATATGTAACAGGAATGGAGAAATATGATATGAATGCAAAATTTCTGTTTTTAGAACCAAGGAATAAATAGAACGATGCTATTAATATGTATATCATAAATACTGCATAAATTATGAAGATGAAATAAACTGGCCAAGGCAGGGTTTTAGAACATTTGTTATGACAGTAATAAGTCTGGGTTCCATACCACCAGGGAACTTTCACAAATGTTGCATAACTATCAACTGTAAGGAGAAATCCTTAACTTGTCTTTGATTAGTTATCTAGCTTAGTTTAGTTTAGTTAGTTATCAGTTTATTTCTCTTTGTCTCTTTTTTTTTCCTCTAAAAACCTTTGACTTCCTTTACAACAAATGTCCAGTCTTTTCTGTTGTTTGCCTTTTGCCTCCATTTTTTCAGTTTTCACTGTGCTTTGTCATTTCCTTAAATTTTTCATCCATTTTTAGGTTGCTTAATATATATTGCTTTCTAAGATGTGGTTTTTAGACTCATGCCTAACACCCAACTAGCAAACCAGGTGCTACTTTTTGTTTGGTGCCTACTCTTTGACCTATCTATCATGGATGACCTACCAGGAGATTATGCTTCTTGTAGCATAGTGTGTTCTGGTGATCATAATATGTAAATCTTCCCACTCATTCATTCATTCATTCATTTATTTCATTTCTGTTAATCCAGGCTGGTACAGCCGTTGGATATAGAGGAAGTCAAAGAACATGCAGTCATAAAAAGATTTTGTCAAAATTAAATATAAGATTAACAAGCAAATATAAATATTACAAGGCAACAATTTAAAAAATTATAAATATAGATAATATTTTGAATTAATAAACAGATAAAACAATTCAAATTATCTAACTTTGTACATAAAAAGTTATCCACTATATAAAATGAAATGAAATTTTAATACCATATTAGCACATCTATTACCGCACTCAAGTCATGGAAAGTTCAATCATTTTATAAAAGTGTGCTAATTAATAGGGGTGAAACCACTAAACTACTTGAGCATAAAATACTACCAGTTTGTAATTAACAGTCATAGAACAAGAAAAAGTTAATAAATGGCCATAAAATATAACAACGATTTTATGCTGTCTAGGTGGTTAACTAGTTTTATACTTAAGAAACTCATCAACAGTATAAAAAGAATGCTCATATAAATATTTTTAATGCTCTCTTAAAAACTTTTTATGTCACATGCCAATATTTTAATATTATCTGGAAGATGATTATAAATCTTGACACCTGCATAAGCAGGACTTTTATGAAACATTGTTAGATGAGTCGTTTGTTGGAAAAAATTGGAATTATTCCTAGTATTGAAACTATGAATCTCAGAATTTTGTCTGAACCAAGTTTTATTTGCAATAACTTCTTTAAGTTATTTTAATTTAATTATGACAAAAACTAATAAGCCCATAGTTTGAGGGAGCCAGATCAACTGAAGGTTCAAAGACTCACACTGAACAGTTGTTCAGTAATTTCAAGATCTGAGGACTTACACTAAATAGTTGTTCAGTAATATTACTCTATAATGTTTCAGGAATTTACCAAGAGCTATTTGGATCTCTATGCCCTTGGTAACAATAATCTATGTTCTAACAAATATTGCATACTTTGTTGTGCTTACAAGGGATGAGCTGTTGGCATCAGATGCTGTTGCAGTTGTAAGTAATGTGTCTATCTTACTGCATAGCTGCATATCTTACTATATAGTAACTATCATAAGTTCAATTCCACATTTCAGTGAATATTTTCTTTAAATTAACTACACAAGTTTGATTTGGTTTCATTTTACAGAACTGTAGAATTACAATTATTCTAGATGGGAATAATATCAGCATGTAGACATATTAAATTGTGGATTTCATTTTTACTTCTTAGTCTCATTAGTTTAAACTCAATTATATATAATTTGAGTTTCATGTATGCTACTGAAATACTGTATTAAAACTTTCAGACATTTGGGGACAAATTGCTTGGGGTAATGTCCTGGATTATGCCATTCTTTGTTGCTTGTTCAACATTTGGAGCCCTCAATGGAGCCATATTTGCATCATCACGGCTGTTCTTTGTTGGAGCTCGTCAAGGACATTTACCAAAAGCAATTGCACTCATCAACATTGATAGGTTCACGCCTGTACCTTCATTAGTCTTCCTGGTGAGATATAATTTTTTTTAACCATTTTAAAGTATAAACATTATATAAGCAAATAATTTGAATGTCAGTGAAAATATTCTGAGACTAGAGTGTAATGCTGAGACAAAGAAAAGTCAACTCTTGATTATTTTGGTTGTGAATTAATCACAATTTTGTAGCTCTACCATGGAAATATCATCATCATAATCAACTCCATGGTTTGGATCTTATATGTCCAATCCAGCTCCATTCTATATTTGTATTTGAACAGAACACTTTTTCTCTAGTATTACAGTATATTTTTTCCCAAAAGGACGATACTTAGGAGCTTATTTAGGAATAGAACATATAGATGTTGTATCCAGTTCTTTCTGGATTCTTTAGTATCATCATTTAAATTTAATATATTTAATTACTGTACTTGTAGAATGTTCATGTCATGCTTTGCAAATTTTTCCCCATTACCCCCCTCTTTTTCTTTTCTTTTTTTTTCTTCCAGCTACATTTTTCATTACAGCCCTTCTCTCTACAATCATATTTGAAAATATTCTTTTACTCCTAACTTGCTGAGATATTACAATTCAACAAATATGTGATTCTACTAATTCCTCATTTTATAAGTGAAACTGTTGTTTGGTAAATAAAAATATGTTACATGAAAATAAATTCCTTAATTTAAAAGTAACAATTACAGATATGATGACCTGAGATAACAGATTTATGAATAACTTTAAAGGAAGGTTAGTATATAGTACACATATAAATGTCAGTACATATCTTTTAATTTATTACAAGGGACACTAACTAATTTGTAATAAACAGTACTGATTAGAAAATCATAGATACAAATATAAAGGGAAAATATAAAGACAAATCAAGAAAGATCATCATCATTGATATGTTGTGATGCACTCACTCCTAGAAGTTTATGACTGTAATTGTTGAGGTTAGGAGTACATGTTCTCAATTAATTATGCATTTAAAAATAATGGTACTGATTTTTCATATGTCTTCATTCAAAAATTAATTTACTGAATATTTGTAAAATGAGGATTTTGTGTATGTGTGTACAAGATGTGTACAGTATTTTAATTATAGTGAAAAATCAGATATGTTTTGAAAAGGAGCTGTTTGTAGATCATGTTATAATATATTGCAGTGTTTCATAACATTAGTACTGCTGATCATCAAGGATGTGTATGTGCTCATCAACTATCTCAGCTTTGTGGAGGCTTTGTTCACAACTCTGTCAGTATCAGGGTTGCTCTGGCTCAGGTGCAAAAGGCCAGATGCTGAACGCCCTATCAAGGTAACTTCTATCTCTAGACTAGATTTGGATCAGGTAATCTTAAACCATAACATCCTCAGGTAGTGGTGAAATACATTACATTTTAATCAGCTAGTAACTGGCACAGGTTGGGTTCAATGGCACGCATGTATTTTCCATATTAAATTCAGAACTCAGACCTTCAAAGGTCAATTAATTGGTTGGCTTGTTCACTAAAATATTCTCAGGTGATCAGCCATGTCAGTGTTGAGTTGAAAACCAATATTTCATTGATTTATTCCATCTCCATCATCATGGTTGATATGGTGGATGTCAATACTTTGCCAATACACATGCACACAAGCACATGCACACCATTGCAATGTCTCTTCCTGTCAGTGTACTACATGACAGGAAGACAGAGTCAACATTGAGGTAGCTGCACATCCAAGAAGATTTAAGTGCAATTATCCATCACAAAATCTTCAAATCTTTTGTGGTTGGTTATTTATTTAGTCAGTCATTCAGTTATTTCTTCTTGCCTTCTGGATATAGCACTGTGATTAAATAGTGAAAATTACCAACATTTCAAAGGACTTACTGGCTGCATCTTCATGGCCAAAGTCATGAAAATTATTACTGGGGAATTTATATTATAAGAATGTAATAATTATGAATTATGACTGGTTAGGAACATGGCCCACAGTTATGAATTATAATTGGTCAGAGCACTGAATCTCAGATTTTCACTTATTTAGGCACTAACCAAGACCAGTATTGAGGTGCATGGAGTGGAATTAGTTAGCTGGTAACTTATATTGAATATGATGGTTATAATGGCCTTCAACCAATAATTATTTTCTTTTGGTATAAAGTGAACCCCCCTATTTAAGGTTTCCTTGGGGACTGATGGATTTAAATACTAAACTGAGGAAAACTTAAAAACAGCGGCAATTTAACACTGATATTATTGATTTGGGATCATTAAAATTGAACATTAGATGAGGGAAGGCCCACTGTGTTTCTTTCTTGACTGCTCAGAATATCTTGTTTTGCTACTTAAAAAACACAATGCAGCATCAGATCTAACATGATCCATAAAGTTATGTTTAATTTCTTCCATACAGGTAAATATAATATTCCCCATTATCTTCTTTATTATCTGCTTGTTCCTGGTTACACTTCCATTTTATGTCAGCCCCTGGGAGGTAGGCATTGGACTGGTTCTCATCATATCTGGCATTCCAATGTACCTCATCTTTATCTACTGGAAAGACAAGCCTCTGTGGTTAATCCGGATATCTGGTAAGTTCACAACAATAACAGCACATTTAGTACAATAAGTTGATTATTGGGCAGATATGGTAAAGGTAAAAAATTAAAGTTGTCCCTGCGCTTAACTAATTAAGCACTATGCCATGAAGACGTATGGGGAAGTGGATGTATAGATCCACATTTTCTTGACCTCAGCACTAGCTGGAGGTGAGTGGTCAGCTTCACCCCCTGGCTGCTGTACCACCGGGGAATGAGCCCTCAGTGCACATTGGACAGGAGGTTGGGTGGACCCCGGAACCAGAATTGATGACATGGAGAAGAGAAAACTCTTAACCCTATCAGAACTCAAACTCTGACTCCCCAGTTGTCCAACCCATAGTTAGTCACTATACTGACTGAGCAGATATGAGGTTCAGAAACTAAATTTGTCTTCCCATACCTCTTTACTTCCTCTGGGAATATACATATACAGGATGTAACTGAAAGGAACAGACAAACTTTGGATATATGAGTTCCACATACCAAACAAGAAGAAATTTCCATATCAACATGTGTCTGGAAACATTTTAATTGTTTTGTCTCCAATCTGCCTGATAACTGTTAATGCTACTGACTGTGTTTACAGCCTGCAGTCAGCTTTACATGCCTTTGTTTCATAACGTTACTTAATATTATCCGTAAGAGTATCCTAGGTAATCAAGATTCATGTTTAACTTCCAAAATATGAACTTGGTTTGGATATGATATTGTGTTGCTTTAGTAATATCTCTTCTCCTTTTGGTTTCAAAATGTGTACATGTGTACAGTAAACTCTTGTTATAAAAGACTCTGATAGAATGCATTTCGGATATAACGGACAAAATCTGGCTGTATATAACTGAAATTTCGGAGATATTGAGGCATTAAGAAGGTTTCTTAGTTAGAAAACTATTTAATATAATTAAAAAACCAATACAAAAGCCTTATTCATACTATGTGTTTCTATGTTTATTATGTGTACTGGCCATGTGTTCTATGGTGTACTTCCGTGAATACCCCTTCACTCAATTATAGTGGACATCGGTGATAATGACCATCCTGTCCCCCCTGTTAGTCCATTATAATGTCTGTATTTTTTGAAAAAAGAAATCACTCTCTCATGGAGTTGAGAGCCCTTCTTGAGAAGCCGTCAGTTGTGCAATTACTCAAGAACTTCCCGGCATATTATGGAACCTGAAGGTTCATTACTGTGTTTACAAGAGCCCTCCACTGGTCCCTATCCTGAGCCAGATCAATCCAATCCATCCCATCCTATCCCTCTAAGATCCATTTTAATATTGTCTGCCCACCTACGTCTTGATCTTCCTGGTGGTCTCCTTCCTTCTGGCTTTCCCACCAATATCCTATATGCATTCCTCTTCTCGCCCATTCAGAAAATAATATGTACAAAATAACAGTGATTATAATTCCTTATTTTAGATTCGTTCAATCTTGTCTGTGCCAAAATGTTCCTGTGTGTCTTGGAGGATGGGAAGAGAAATCACTGAAAGTTGCGAAGGCAAAGTGAAGTTCTGTGTGACAGAATGACAGGAAACATTCCTGGCAATTGTGACTATAATGAGACAATAATACATGGAGTTTCTTATAAAACTGTATTTAAGAGATGTTAAACATGTAAGCATGATGTATGATTTGTGAAAAGTATTGACTATGAATGTTTTACAGTCAGCTTCATCAAGTAATGAATTTTTCTCAGATGATCATCCCGTGTCAGTACGGAGTGGATGTTGAACATTTCAAAGACGGCCTCCAAAATGAGGACATTTACTCCATTCTGACACAGCAAATTGCCTGAGAAGATTTCAGTGCATTTACAAACCAAAAGGATCAAATATTATGATTGTTATCATGTTGATGCAATAATAAATAAGTTATTTCATATGGAGTTGTGAATCAGAACTATTAGCATCTGTAGTCTTACACTTCATAAGTCATAAATTGAATCTGCTAATTTGGTTAATAGTGTCCATTCTGAAAATGAGATATTTCAACTTGTAACTGGCCTCCATTGCAGTAAATATTTTTTATGTGTGATATCAGTAAAAATATACTTATCCTGCCATCCCCTGACACTTTGCAGCATAATTTGAGTTTCATGAAACTACAGTTTTCTCATGATTTTGAAACATAAGAAGACAGCGTGGCGTTGCATTTCATGCCTCATGAAGACAGTATGAAATAAAATATAGAACTAAAATAATTCAAATATAAATTAATTCAGTTAAAGGCAGAACGACAGGTTCAGCATTGTTCCATCTGAAGTTGTCAAGTATTAACAGGCTTTGCAGGTGAGTTACTAAAGAGATGTATACCTGATTAATGTTACAGTTTTGTATTTAGTTCCATACGTTTTCTTAGGTTTCAACATGGTTTAATTTTCATGGCTCAGTCTATGAACTATAGAATTTATTCATTGAGGTGTGACAGTACACAGTCGTAAGATTTGGGAATGGGTGAAGGAGAAATTGTGCAAGTTGAATCCTAGTTACAATTCTGAGCGAGGGGGATGCCATTTTGTTTAGTGTCACTACTGGGCAGATAGATGGCAGAAAAATATCCTTAGCATTGTCTACTCATAGCTTCAGGTGGCAGTACTGGTAGAGACTGGTAGTGCACATTTCGAATGTTGTTTGATTGAATTGCTGCTGGCCCTCGCCAGTGATTCTTGGTTCTGAGTCCCACAAGCCTCATGACCACATTTTACTCCCTGACAGCTCTGGGAGCCTTCAGACTCCCCATTCGTTGCTTGATGTGTTAGTTCCAAATAATAAGCCGTGAATGTTCACTGAAGGTAATCAATTGAATATTTATATCATTAAAATTATAATTGTAATGTATATAATTAGTAACATTCACTTTGTGAATATTCAGTATGTGTTGTAGGTACACATACATATATATACATTTATTTCCATAGATCCATACAAAGTATAAGGATGTGGAAATTTTCATAACCAACAGAAAAGAAAAAACAGTATAAACTTACATATAGTCAAGCAACACTATACAAGACCATAACATTTATGGGCACAAAAACAATACTAAGAACCTAATGATGAAAACTATGTATGATTAATCACTTATTACAAAGAAATTACATCTCCATTTTTATCATATTCAAAATCAAGATATTCGCCCAATGTATAAAATGAATGGCAACACAAAAAATCCTTCAAAGCCGATTTGAAACCTTTATGGTTATTGTAAAATAAATATTTTGAACTCCTTGATTTTTATGATTCATTATACACGGGATAATACTAGAGTTTTTTTTTATGAATCTTGTGAAGTTGGAGAACAATATGAGATGTTATAGACTTTTGAAACCCCATTACCAGCATTATGAAACTTAAAATCTGTTCCAAACTTCAATCTTCTCACAGTTTTAGCATCAATTATATGGCTAAAACCTTTGGTGTTTACTAAGGAATATGTTGAAATGAAAATGGTAGGGAGACCTCACTACAAGATAGACTGCATGGCTGAAACTATATTATCTAATGGCTATTTAAAAATGTGAAAAACAAAAAAACGCACTGACAGAACATATAAAACAGGAATTATGTACCAGAATACTATTGAGGGAGACCACTTACTTAACTGGCTCAAAACATTTGCCAGAGTCATGGACTTGTAGTGACATATAAATACATTTCTTGAATTGTGACATTACTGAAGGTCTACAGTGTTTTACGTCCAAGTTAAGCCAGTGACAGATTTAATTAATTTAAATTTGTTTTAATTTTATTAATATTTAAATATCTGTGTGAAGAAGTGTTCTTAACAATATAGTCATTTAACACTGTCACAACAGTTAAATCTCATGTAAAGTTACATGTGGCTGGATCTATTATTTGTATCTATGCAAGAGAAAGAAGCTCAACAAAATATATTATTTTAGACAACAGCTTGGACATTCTGATTTTCAAGGCTATAGCTTATGGAGGAGCTTAAAACTTGGGAGCCATTGCAAAAGGGGGCACTGTTCCTTATGCTTGTGATGTTTAGCATACATTATGACCCTGTTTTCTGTTTAGATTTAATTTCTGTATTTATTCAGATGAACTGATTATTGCAGCTATTAAATATATAAATACTGATTTTGTTTAGTTACATCACAGTAGCCTTTGCACTTTAACTTGTAAGGAGAAAGGAGTTGCCAAATGGATGGAAAATAAACTAAAATGTGTGCAGTTACATTTGTTTTTACAGCTCAGTGTACCAGCGAAAATGACTATTTAATTTGTACCTCACAGTTCCTAAAATTATTAATCATGATTCAGCCTAATGACAGATAATAAGTTTATTCATACTTTCTTATTTATTGTGAAATGGTCCACAGTAGAACTGGGTTAGGGACTAGATGCATACAGGCTTTGTTCTGCACTTACTGCTGTATCCATGGGATTTATGTGTAGAAGAAACAGACCAGCACTAAATCAAGCTTTAAATGTATTAAAGATCATGGTTCACAGCATAAGCCAATTATTTCTTACTAATGTAACAATTCCACAAACATTTGTGGCCTAGAATGCCAAAGTTCGGTTAAGTGGTTTATCATAAGTTTAACTGCACTGGTCACATGCAAATGCTGAGTACATAAAACGAAAAAAAAATAAAATACATAAACCGAGGTAACCATACTATTATCAGCAGCATTTTCTTTGTATCAGATGTGATATATACATGGTGCCATTTAGTTTCCTAAGTCTTGTTTGTAATAATGGAGAGGACCACATAAAGGTGATATCAGTAATGTAGAATGGACTTTCTAATGCCAATCCTGTAAATTTCATATGCCAAAGGAAAAGTCAGTAGGTAAACAATTTCTTATATTGGGGCTTCACGTCCTCCTGGCAACTGGCCAACATAGGAGAACTTTAATTTTCTCAGATCTTGTTAGGTAATCTAAGATAGTGCCTTAAAATAGCCCACATACCTTGCTGTTCGTCATTCAAATCTATAAAACAAGGTTTGAAATGGTTCGTTAACTGCACGAAACTTAACCAATATGTAAAACAAATGTATTCCATCCCTGTATAAGTATTTGACCCTAATGCATCTAAACTCGTCGCATAATGAACTAAGTCGTTAGTAATTTCTTACAATTAATATTACTCTAAATTTCGTTTTAAGGAATGTGCGTTATTAAAAACATAAAAAAAAACATTTTATTTGCTTGATACTGGCGGATGACGTTATTGTTTTGTCACAACAGTGGCGCTATCAAATTGTCAGTTGCACGAGAACCATGGCGCGTTAAATTCGTAGTTTTGACAGATTCCCGCGTTCCCGCGCGCGCTTCAAAACCTAACGAACAGTGCGATAAAATATGCCGCCATAGTGTTGTTCACTGTGTTCCTTCGTTACTGGCGTTTTACGTTAATAACATGTGTTTCAGTTTTCGTTCCGTGGCTCTGTTGAACATCGCAGAAAGAAGAAGTGCTTGTGACACAGTTAACGTATCTTCATGAACAAGTGGTTTTGATGATGGACACTTAATCTTGCCTTTAAAGTTCGATTGACTTAAGCGAAATGAGGTTATATTTACTGGTACAATTCTACCTTAACTGATTCATCAGTTTACCTTATCACTTCGTTCAGGTACCAGACTGTGGGAACTTGATGGGATATGAATTGAATTGAATGTGTGTGTGTACAGTAAGAGTGAGGACTGTTGAATTGGTCACAACGAAATGGTTCTTGGCTAACCGTTATATTTTATGTACATTATACCGAATAACTTAATTTTTTTTTCAAAATGCGAGCTATTTTGTTCACTTTGTGTACCTCGGACCCTTTTGATCGCATAGCAAGTGAATTCGACATTTGTGATTATTAACCGCAACTCAGTGAAATGATAACATTTTGATTACAGATGATGTTTTAATTAACGCTTGGTAGATAGCATATTATTATAGATGATATAACCTCGAAGACAGGAACATGTTTTAACCCCCATTTCACATGAGTGTGGCAATACCTGAAAGTTTCTGTGAAAAAGATTGCATTCAAGATGAAGCTCATATAAGAACACATCTGCTACATGACGGTAAGATGAAATACTTTTATATAATTAGATTCAATGACGAATTTGCCGTTGATATGTTTATGGCAGGTACAAATTTACAATACAGTGGCAGTTCTTGAGCCTTTTTAGCACGCATCCAAGTCTCAGATATGACAACATTTCTTCGGAAAATTTCGTTTTGTTTAGAATTGTTAGGCCAAAAATAAACGCAATATAAAAGAAGTTAAAACAGTCTGACCCAACATCTAATTGTGTTATGTTAGAGAAATGTTAAAATATTTCCAAATGTGAGAAATATTATTTTATTTAACTTTGTTAGTACTACTGCAAAAATCTGGTCTTTAATAATGCACCTACAGAGACTGGTCACTGTGCTGTTAAGGTTGTGATCAGTGGTCGGGATAGTTCAGTCGGTATAGTGACGAGCTGCCGGCTGGACGGTAGGGGTTCCATTCCTCCAAGGCGAGAGTTTCTCTTCGCCACAGCAATCAAATCGTTTTTCTGGCTCATATATCCAATGGGTACCGGGGGAGATTTCCACGGGGATAAAGCTGCTGGGGCGTGAAGCTGACCACCCACTTCCTTTTAGTGCCAAGGTCAACATAGATGGAGCTATACCTCCACTCCCCCATATGTCTTCATGGCATAATGCTTAAATAATTCAGCAGAGGGACAACTTTATCTTTGACTTCAATGGCTGACTCTTTTATGATTATTTCCAATCTCAGTTCTGATTTTCTGGACATTACTTATCACCCTAATCTTTATTTAAAGCGATATCTTGGAGACTGGACTGCCTTCTTCCTCAGATAAAAAGCCTACTCTATTGGTCCAACTCTATATATCAAGTTATATCCTCTGAGATATAAAGCTCTGCTCGATACCTGCTTCATGCGAGCTTCTTTCTTGAAATGTTCATCAGTCCTGAAGATGGAGACGAAATGTTCCTTCGAAACGTCACTCGTCTCCAATCGAATGGCGTTATATCTCAGAAGATAGAATTCTTCAAGCAAACTCATAGTTTCTCTAATGCAGAATTGGATGTTGTATTCATACATTTAGTTGCCCCCCACCCCATCCGTAACACAGAGTCCGGTTCATTGCGCCGAAACATAGGCAACACATATAACGTGAGAGGTGGTTGGGTTGTCGATACTCACTGGCTCTCTGAAAGCAGCGTGTTATAAATAGAAGTTGAGTGCAATACATTGGTGCTGTGGTAACTTAATTGGATTTATCGATTCAGAATTGAAGATATGGTTTTGTTTTTACAGAAGTAGCCATAACTGAAGAACATTACAGGCTGTTAAAAGTAGCGAAAGCCGATATTTCTCATAACAATTTCCTAGCTAAGCAGTTACTTAGTTCCGAAAGTTTTGAGTACGGGCGTGGATTATGTTTTATTACTTGCATCCTGTTGTGTTGTGATTTGTGACATTCTGGCCGTCAACACAACAAATATTTCAAAATAAAACAATCAAAGCGTTTACATTGATTTTATTTAAAAATTTAATGAAACTGCCCGAGAATGGCCCAAAACATGGACCGATAACGCAATAGTTATTGAATAAGACAAATGTAAATAATTTGATTGTTTTATTTTGAAATATTTGTTGTGACGACGGCCGGAATATCACAAAAATTTGGAAGGTATTTCCTTTCCTATAATTATTCTATGTTTGCTAATGTTTTCTGATGTTTCGTAGAGTTTGGAAACACGGCCTCTTGCCTTGAGGGAGGAACACAAATCGAAAGTGTTCATAAAAATATTCGGTTCGAATAGGGAATAACTAATTAGGGAATTGAAGATATTATACAAGGAGGAGTTTCGTGTTTGTACAGGTGTTGTTAGGGTAGTGGACTCAACCATAATGATGGTCTGAACATGTAGCTTGGATGAGGGAGACAAGAAGTGCATAAAGAAGTCTTATTGCTGAAGTCTATTGCAATTCAGTTACTTGAAATATCGAAGGAGAGATGGTACTACGTCATTAAGATTGTTCTTAGAGAACTTTGCTATTAATGCTTCTGAATCTTTGGATTATACATTCAGAGAAATTATGATATGGTCGTTTTTAAAAGTTCCTTAATTTTATTTCCATTGGTTACATATACAACGAACTAGACTGTATTTTATTAGTTGTAATTTGTAAAAAATATCAGTAGTCTTGGAGCAAAAGATATAAATAATAATGAATAAAGTAAAAGCATCATACTAGTAGAGTACACCACTAAATCCAATGGGAATTACTTCCTTTACATCTTCATGTCACCATATTTCTTTCCCTCATTATTTTCATACGTTTATCTTATTATATCCTTTCGTCGATGTAGCAGTGAATTAAATTACTCGTCCATCCCCATCCATTAGATGGCATTTTTTAATTGTATGAGAAAAAAATTGTAAATACAAAAAGGCCTAGTCAATGCCCATCCGGCCCTCTGTAGCAGATTCATACAAACATCTTGTTCTATAATAGCGGTAACCCCGTGATTGTTAATATAGACCTTAACTTAAATCTGAGAGTTACTGTTCATAATCAGTGCAATTACTTCTTTCACTTTTCTTACATATCTATTTTATATAAATATAGGAATGTTATTCATGAAGTAACTGACGCCTTGCAGAAATATATTTTCTTCTATCTTTAAGAGCTCTCAAATTGACTTTGGATATTCTTTTCTTGCAGTTCTCAGACAAAATGTCCTTCATTTTGCACTTTGGTCATCGTACTGTTTACAGTCCCAGAAGATATGTTCCTCCGTCTGCAGCCCATCACCACATTCGCATTCGGCCGTGGGCACAATGTCAAATCTGTTTAGGCTTACTACAAGACTGGCGCAGTTTCGAATACAGAGCTGCCATCTATGCAAGGACATGAAAACTAGTAGCACGTGTGAATGACGTACTACCCACATACGTAATCAGATGACGTATACGTTTACAAAGCTTTACCACTTATCCTATGATGCGTATACTGTAGATTAGTATCAAGAGAAATGACTAATAACTTCTCCTGACTGAACATGGAGTTCGAGTAGGTAACACTCCTGAAGTCATATTCGACAGGTCACGAATTCAAATATCAGCCCGGAGACCGACTATTCTTACTGAGGCAAATAGCGACACGTTATGTGAAAAGGTAAAACTAACTGTGTAAGAGAACGTGGAGGCCCATAGGGTTGTGAGACGTCGAGGTTCTCACATTTCTAGACAATCGGCTAACAGATGGCGGTGAGTTTGTCAGTCTTACACGCAGGCCGCCCTTCATACCCCAGGAAGATTCCTGGTACTAATTTCTGTTAGAGGCTAAGTAGAATACAGGGCCTTGTATTGTATTGTATTGGAGAGGGTGGGTTTCCCCATGCACTTAGACCAACTGTTGGTCCATTGTGCGTCCCCCTATGATATTCTACCAGTCTCTATTCCCTACCGGTACTGGTGCGTGCCATCAGTCCCCCCTCTACTGGCTCAGCGGTATCTCGATGCTTCCCCCATTTACCAGAGGTGTTAGAGACTACTGTTGGGCGGGAAATGTCCTGAATTTGGCTCAGTGGACCTTGAGTCACGAGGTGGGAACGTTACCCCTAGACTACGGAGGCCGCTAACCCAGGGCCTTAGTGCGGCTGGTAAATTGAGAAATTTAGTGACCTAATCGGGAATTGAACCCACGACCTTCCGGCTTAGAGCATAGTGCATCAACCAACTACATAACTGCGTACAGTAGGCTGCCTCAATTGAAATCATAACTGCTTCCTTCCGAATCCTTCCAGTTCATTATTCTCTCTAGCTATGGCTCTGCAGTCAGTCCTTTTGTGGGACCTTGGCCGCTTTTTCGATTTCTTAATCCTATACACAGACGGTAAGACTCCTTGAACGGGGGATCAGCCCGTCGCAAGGCCGCTACCTACAGACAGACATAGAAGGGACACACACAGACATCAGTGTCTTGAGTGGGATTCGAACCCACGATCCCAGCGTTCAAACGAGCGAAGACATTTCATAGCTTAGGCCGCGCGGCCCCTGTGATAGATACTCGATTCATTATTCACTAATCCAATACTGAATGCGACGTTAATCACGAATAAATAAGCAAATAAGAACTTCTGGAAGTCATGTACGAAGCCCTTTTTATTTTTGTACGAGATTCTTCTATATAAACGTACATCATATCTGAATTCCTTATATATATATTTTTTGCACGATCGAATTTTAAGTCAGCGTTAAGCCATTCTTTCTACTACCAGACCCATTATTTTCCACATTACGATAATTGTGATCAATGCTCGAAGACTTGATCTTTGATCCAAGTTGCACTGACGTAATGAATAGTTTCATGAGCTACGCTAACATACATTCCTATTATTGCAATATTCTAAAATGGTTTAAATATTTCATGTTGTGGCTCAACCCTGAAGACGGAAATATTATATTCATTTAGACTGTAACATGGCGTAATAATGCAGAAGGACACAAACAGGAATCTTTAGTCATGACAGGACCTCAAATCCTGCGTTTAATTATATTGTGATTCTGAAATTTTTTTTTGCATTTTTTATTTTTTATCTTATTTCTTCACTGTAGCAAATAGTCCAGAAGACGGAAGGCATTTTGTAAACAGTTAAGTGATTAAACCATATTTTATCAGACTGTGGGTCGCGGCTACACACAAGGTTGCGATCTACCGCAAAGGGGGCACCGCCAAATTCTGAATAATTGTTTCAAGTACAGCTATGATAGCTCAGACAGTATAGCGATTGGCTGGGGGATGGAGGAGTCGGAGTTCGAGTCCCGGTGAGGCAAGAATTTTCACTTCTCCATGTCGTCCAGACAGGCTGTGGGGTCAACCCGAACTCCTATACAGTGGGTACGGGGGGTAAAGTGGCCGGGGCGTGAAGCTGACCACTCACCTCCAACTAATGCCGAAGCCAAGAAAATGTGGATCTATACATCCAATTCTCATACGTTTTCAGGGCGTAGTGCTTAATTAGTTAAGCACAGGGACAGCATTATCTTTTAC